CCCTGCAGGCGCCATGCTTTGTGGCGTTTTGTCACTCCTTGGCGTATCTTTTGTGTTCAAGAAAATAGTTATGGTTTTTAACTTTTCTTTTTTAATTTTATTATATTATTTATCTTTGTTTAGTCCCTCATTATATTATATCGCCTTGGCTGGTTAGGGCACGTCTACCACAGGAGTTGACGCATATTTCGATATTTGCTAAATCCTGTGATGGTTGGTGTCAAAAGCGAGGTGGGCCAATCAAGACACGGACTGATACGGTGAGAAAAGATTTTGAACATATCGATGGACCAGCCAGCAATATATGGACTTAGACGATGGAAAAAGGAATGGTTTCTATTACTACTAGCGATGGTGTCGGAGCGAGCAGCTCGGAGACGTCTTACCCTTATAACCAGTGGAACCAGCCTAATTAGTAATGGTGAGATCTGTTAGAAGAAGAGAATAAAGGCGATAAATAGAAATATTCTCTTAACTGTAAAATTCTTATAAGAAACTCAAAGAATAGGTTGTGGGTGATCGCATAAGGCGTCCTTCTTTATGTTTTTCAGCTATTTCTGGCTTAGCGAAATTAGCGAAATTTGAACTAGTTAAGATATTCTTTTATTATCATTATAATAAGCATTGATATAATAAGTGATAAGGTGATAAGTGACCAGCCATATGAACATGTGTGTTTTTTTTTTTTTTTATAATTCGCTTGTGAACGTTGTTTTGCTTTGTTGTTGAAAATTTTTGTCCAAAAGGAAAGATAATGTATGAAGCAAGCAAGCAAGCAAGCAATAACAACAACAACAGCAGATTTCTTAGTGTTTCTTCTTCTTATAAAACGAATATTTCATTAACAATGGAAGATAACCAAATCCAGTTTTATTATCATCATCCCAACTTCTCGTTATTATTTTCATCCCTATCTATCCCGGTATTTCCCCAACCTTGAAATCATCATCATCAACACATCATCTCGTTCTTATTCGCCTTTTCATTATTTTCTTTACGCAAGCCATTATTTCCTTATATCACCACATCTTTTGAAAATATTTTATAAATTTATAAATTTTATTTTTTTTTTAATTTTTATTTATTTTCCAACTTTAATTAAATTTAATGATTATTACGAAATTGTTATTATTAACTATTAAAATTAAATTTCAATTTTAAATAAATAAATATAATAAATTTAATAAAATTAATTGCAAAAATTATTGTTAAAATTATTAAATTTTACTAGTAATATATTTTAAGGTAAAAAAATTTTACGAAATTTTATTGCAGTATATTTTATATTTATTATATATTTTTAAATATTAAATATTATATTGAATTGTATTTTAAAATTTTTGAATTGATTTTATTTTTGTTAATTTTTTTGTGTCAATTTCGTAATTTTTTCTCGTATTTATTTCATTGTTGAAAATAAAATATTAAGTAAATAAATAAAAATAAAATATGCAAAATATATTGTATTAGTTGAGATGCGGGTGATGATGATGATGACCTTGGTCGTTGACGTGGTGACATTTTTGAATTGTCCACTTTCTTAGTAAACACGAAAGTGGAAAAGATGTTTACATATTCTTTTCGGAACCCGGAAAGAGAAAACGAACTGCATATAACTTAAGATTTACTTTTGTAAAGAGGGAAGACAATGACGAGGACGTCGATGACGGTGACGACGACGACGACGATGACCGTGGTGAGAAAGAAGTAATCATAAAAATAAAGTCAACTAAATAGAACTTCTATAACTGCAATTCCTCGTTCGTTCCTCGTTGAATTCTCCGGATCGACAGATTTGAAATATTTTTTTATATTTTATAAAAATTTATAATTTCAGTTTTTTTTCTATTTATGAAATATTTCTATGAGGTAAATCGTTTGTAAATCGTTTATTTTCTTTTTTTCACATTGTTTTAAGTTATTATTTTCATTTAATTTTATTTAGATTTCATTTATGGAATTTCTCGATCAAATTCTGGTTAACGCTTACCATTTCTGGTTATTAGGCTCGCTCGGCCGGCTGGCTGTTGGTGCAGTTAAAAAGATATTTTTATGCCAAGAAGACAGGTGGGTCACCAACAACACCCGGATTTTTAAATTAGGGGTTTACTTCTGCCTGGAGGCAAAAACCCGAATCGCTTCCTCTTAACACGCAATTCGCTTGGCTGTACTGTTCGCTACTTGGCTAATACTATTCGTAATACTAAATTATGATTCATTTCTCTTTTTCGCAATCATTTAACCTTTCAATGAACTCTAAAAGCTTAAATTTCTGGAATTAATTTGCATAATTAGTTGAAAAACGTTTTCTTCGCTTTCGATTCTCTTGGATTTGAAAAAATTTTAATTAATTTTAAAAAATTGTTTCAGGAATTTTTCTCTTTTGCGAAGGGAATAATAACGCATTTATAATTTATCTTTCGAATATAATTTTTTTTTATTTTATCAATAATTAATCAGTTAAAAAAAAAAAATGACAATGGAAGATATGAATGCATGTGCATTATGTGGTTTTACTTCGGCCGATATTATTGCATTTACCGAACATGTTGAACAACATGAAAATGAAAGGATTATCACAAATCACAATATTGATAATCACATTAACACTTCGGATATTTCTCAGGTTATTTTCATTTTTATTTTAAATTTATAAATAAATATTAAAATTTATGCAAAGAAAAAGTCTCTCGCTTATTCTGAATTTTTTTCTAAATTTTTTCACTAAAAACTTAATTAATATTCGATTTTTGAAAATTTTTATTCAGAAAATTTTTTTTTTCTTAAATTTTATTCATTTTTGTTTTGTACATTTTTCAAAGTTTTTATCGAATTTTATTTCACCACGGACAACGATTTAATTAATTTATTAAACTGGTTATTTTTATTTTATTTAAGCTATTTCACACGATTTTATCTTTGTCATACGTTATATAAAATTTTTAACATTGGAAGGCATTTTTATTCGAGAAGAATTTATTATAATAGGTTATATCATGACGAACTTGGTACCATTATCACAGCGAACAATATATATGTACATTGTAAATCATTAAAATTCAGGATGGAAAAAGGGAAAATGAAAATATTTATTTATATTATTATATTTAATTATATATTTATTTATTATATTTATTTCTTTTTACATAATTCACTTATGGATAAGATAGGAATTAAGCGCTCATTTCATTTATCATTATCATTTTATCATCAATTATCATTTGTCTTAAACCTATCCCACTGGAGTCAGCTGGGAATGGAAATAAAGATGGATATTTTGTACCATTCGAACAATGTCCGAAATAATGTCTCAGACTTTGACTAATCCAAACCATTTGGCCGTTGTAATCACCCTTGAAATATGTTTTATTATATATTTGTTGCATTATTTAGCTGCCTCAAAATGTTGATTTTACATTTTGGGATGGATAAAATGTCGCCAATTCCTATTTACAGAGCGGGATCGTAGCTAAAATGTTTTCGAGATAATCGAAGTTATGATAAGTTTATTGATAAAAGCGCTTGGTACATTGCCATTAATTCTTTCTCTTAATTCTTCTGTTTTTCGGATAAAAATAAACTTTGCCATCCTTATAAAATGGTTTATAAGAAAATAGCTGTTATTATGGTAGAGTTTGGCGATTTTCCTGTTCTATCTGTGTAGTGCAGTTAGCAGTTTTTCTTATGCATAGCACCTAATTATTAACTATTTACTTTTTTGGATAATCAGTGATTATCATCCAATTTAAAACTGATCTTAATTCGTAATCTTTGTCCCAATCCTCTTATCAGTTTGCTTATCAATTTGATTATTTTTATTTATTTATTTTTCTATTTCTAACTATTTGCTTAAGGTTGGAAATAGCAATAATAATGGAATCGAATAAGATGAAAACGTTGATAGCTAAATACAAATGAGAAAAAAAAGTATCAAAAGGCACCATATCATTTTATATCAATAATATAATTTTTTTCCTTGCTTGCTCATGAATTCATTTCAAAAAAACCTTCATTATCGTAATCTTTAGCAGTAGAATTGTACAGTAGAATTGTTAAGTGATAAAATGCAGTGATAAAATAAAGCAGGTCACCTACTTTCTATTTACGTAATTTATTCCAGTAATTAATTCATGATCATCACGTAAAATAATTTTTTCTTCAGACTATTTTTAAAAATTTTTCAAATTTTTCACTTAATAATTTTAGTGATAAGTAAGGGATTTTTCATTTTCTCAATATTTGATCAAAATTCTGCAATATTTGAATGAAAATAGTTGGTAAAATGATCAGCGATAATTTATCGTTGTCTCCATACGAGAAACTTTTGATGCATTTGATGTTTCGTGCAAAAGTTTCGCGCAATTCAGGATACCTGCTGTTCATACAATATTCTTGCATATAATAGTTTCTCACAGTCTTATTGTGGCAATAATGCCACCTTAGTACTTCATCCTTAGTCCTTTTCAAGAAACGTCCTTCTAGAATGCTTCTTAAATGATTTCCATATACGTCGTGTCGAATGGTGGTGATGACCTTTTTGTCATTCTAATCGGCTTTGTTGACTAAGGTCGTCGATAAGATGGGATGAGTTGATGATGAATTGTTTGAGAATAAAATCCTCCAATTCAATTCAAGGTTTATTCCATTTCATGAAATGAATGAATAATTCAAATGCATGAAAAAATAAATTTTTCGACCAAAAATAAATAAGCCTCTTTTTAACTGTAAATAAATGATTAAATAAGATTTTTCGTTGCCTAAAATTAAATTTAATTAAATTTAATTTAATTAAATTTAAATTTAAAAAGATTTTCATCTCTTTGAAAAATTTTTGATAAATCTTCTATGAATAAAATAACTTGTTGAAATTCGAATGTTTAGCTATTAAAAATGCATTGTATTTATTGATCATTCGCAGAGATGCTTTAGGGCATTTTTAAAAGATGAAAGAAAATTTTCAAGAATAACCAGTTATGGATTTAGGAGTGGAGCAAGGATCTTGGTGATCAGTCGAATTTACCGGATTCGCCTAACGAAGAAACCGGTCCAACGCAGTCCGATGCTACGGCAGCTGCCGTTGCTGCTTTACCTAATTTATTACTGGCCGTATCCGGATCGCATACAAATAAGCCATCAAAGAAGAGCTTTTCATGCCCTCATTGCAATTTTCATACTAGCATGTCTCAGCACATGAAAAGTCATTTGGTAATAATAATAATATAGCACATTTTTTTTGCTTCTATAAAATAAAAATTATCTTCACAAGATTTTTTTTTTTAAACTTTTCCATATCTTCACTATTCATCGAAACAAATAGCTCCTCTCGGCGCCTCCGCAGATAATTTTTTTGGTGAACCCAGTCGCTTGCGATTAAATCCAAAAATATATTACGGGGTTTTTTGAGATTTTTAAGATTTTTATTAACCACATAAATACCCTATCGAATGTTGGGAGTACAATGTTTTTATCCTTTAATGCGAATAAACCCTATTATTATAAGTAAAATGTGTATGGCTCTGCTGGACGCCCACATGTGTCTCTTCGATCACCAAATGGTTCCTTAGTAATTAGGGAGGTTAGCCAAATTAAATAGCGAAATAGCGAATAAAAATAGCGAAAGTGCTTTTTTAATGGAACAAAAAAAGCAACATTATTATTCATTTTTCATTCTTTAATTATTCTTTAAAAATTTATTTTAATTATTACTTTTTCTAATAATTTTTTATAATTTACTCTCGGAATATATTTTTTTATCTAATAATTTTTTTAAAATTCATTTAAAATTTATTCAGAATAATAATATTCAGGAGGCTCATCGTCGTCATCGCGGCCAAATGTATCAATGTGATTTATGTCAAATGCAATTCAGTCAAAAAGCGAACATGCATCGACATCGTATGCGACATGCTGGTGTTAAGCCCTATGAATGTTTATATTGTGCAAAACGATTTTTTAGAAAAGATCAAGTTTGTTGTTTATTATTTATTTGAACTCCAGTTTTAATTAGTTTTATTCTTATCACTGATATAATTTACTGCTTTAATTCATCATTTTTACAATTATTTAACGAATATTATTTTCAGTGATAATCAGATTCTTATCACTGATATAATTCACTTCTTTAATTCATCATTTTTACAATCAATTAACGAATATTATTTTCAGTGATTTTACTATTTATTAATTAAATTGAATTGGATTTGTATATTCTCATGCAAATTGCAGATGCAAGAACATTCAATGACTCATATAAAAGCGGGTAAAAATTTTGATTGTCCAATAATGAATTGCACACAACGATTCAGTCAGCATGCCAGTTTGCGTAATCACTTGGAAACTGATCATATCATTAATGCCAATAATCCCGCATCGTGTAAGCGATGTTCATTGTTATTTGTCAATCCTCGACGGGTTCTTCTTCATTATCAGACAAAGCATGATCCTGGAGATGTTGGTTCTTGTCGTTTTCCTTATTTTTTATTTTTTTATCGCAAATTTTTTTAAAAATATTTAGAAAATATAAGTTTTTCTGTCATTTCTTTCCAAATGGCCATCTTAATTTCGTAAATTTCTACCATTCATTGTTTTATTTTACTCGATTATTATTTATATATGTGGTTATATGGTTTTATTTTTTCAATTTTTTTTCTAAAAAAATTTCTAATATCATCCTGAAAAGCCTAAAAAAATTTATCCTATGTAAGGCAAGTTTTTTTCATAAGTTTGATAATTATTTGATTATTTTAGCGATCAAAAATAGTGCCAACAATAACATCAGCTACGACGTCCATTAATATTTTAAACGAGAATGATACAAAAAGCGATAATAATATTTTGTCAAATTCGTCGCGTAAAAAACGACGAACGAAATTCTCAGATACAACAGTTCAGGAAGCAATTGATTCATTGTCGTCGTACAATACGAATAATGGAATTATCACTGATGATAATCAAATGCCTATGGATGATGATCACGTTGGTTTTTTTTTTCTTTCATTTCCATGGAACGGATTGATCGACTATTTCTTGTAATTAATCATTTTTGGGAAACTTTTATAATTAATTGTGAGCAGTGATCGGTGATTGCATCATTTTATTGGTAGTTTTATTTCATCATGCCACGTCTCATCTTTCATCTTTTAAGTGACCTTGGCTGCAATAATGATTGGGGTTAGTTATGCATAAAATTTTTCTTATTTCTAACTTCTTATAAATCAGATAAAAACGATTCTAATGGGTATTCGCCTTATTTCAATGGAATTAAATATTTCCATGAATTTTTATAATTCTAACTAATCATTTAACCGTTAAATTCCGAATTCTGAAACTAATATATAAACTATTTTATTAATGTATTTTTTAATATTTCTTCTTTGCAGAAAAGTTATCCTTTAACGAGTCAAGAAATTCTTATGTCGTTGTCAAATACGGCTTTGCCATTGGTTTTCCCGGTATATTTTTTCTTTTGCTCTTGAGTTAAGCAGATATTTTTTCTATTTTTTATCAAAATTCTCTTTATTGAAGCCGATTGTTTGAATCGATAAATTAAAAATTATCAGTTGCTCATTATAATTTTTCAAGGTTAATGAGCTCAAGGCAGCCCAATAACGATCACATTTAATGCGAATTTATTTAGAAAAAAAAAATATTTCATTGGTTAATCATGCTTTATTTGGTGATGATAATAATGCATTGATTACTGCAAAAAATCCTAAAATATTTAATTTTAGCAATAAGTAAATTCATTACGTAATACAATATTCAGGACATAAAGCATGAACCAACCAGCTTACAACTTTGGACAAATAGTGAAAATACGGAAACGCCGGAAAATGAAACTCATTCACCGTCGATAGAAAGTGCTGGAAGTACTGGCTGTGGTGATGTTGAAGCAAAATTTGCAGAGAAAGATATTATGGTTCGTTGCCATTTCATCTGTTTTCTATATATTAGAGAATAAATTTTATTTTTAAGTTTTTTGAAAAAAGAAAATTTTATAAAATACTTTTATATTCTTCTGCAATATTTACTCTATATCTATTCAATTTAATTTCATTATTTTAAATTTTAATTTGTTTAAATTTTTATTTTGTGTTACTTTTTTTATTTTTTATATTCACTTTATACATTTTTTACTTATTTCCATTTATTTTTATATTTTATTTTTTAATATTTTTTACATTCTCTGCTCCTTTGTCTTTTAATTTAAAATTAAATTAAATATTAATTTAATTTAAAATTAAAATTTAAAATTTAAATTTCATTCTTTTAAAAATCATTTCTTTTTTTTTAAAGAAAATGTAATTATAGAAATGGAAATGTGAATTTTGTGAAGTAATCTTCTTGGACGAAACGCTGCACCTTGTACATTCAGGACTCCATTCCGACACGGATCCATGGAAATGTAAATTATGTGGCATATCATGCGGTGAAAAATACTCATTTAATGCTCACATTATTTTATCTGATCATAGTTGTGGAGCATTTTATCGTTGAAAATCATTTAAAATGGAAAGAAATTAAGAAAATTTATTCGTGAAAAAATTTTTCCTCTAAAATTTATTACATGTTTTTGCTCACAATTTTGCATGATTTGCTCATTTTATGACCTTTTTTTATTAATCCTATTGATGACAAAAAGTTATCCCTTATCAGTGCCTTATTTTTTCATTTGCATCATGAAGGCTTATTTATTTCGTGGATATTTCGATGTTATTTTGCCATAAAAAATAAAAAAGAACTGAAAATATCCATTGAATATCGCTTAAAAATTTTATATTTCTAGATAAAAAATTTCAATAATTTAAAAGTATTAACTTTAGTGAGGAACTGATAAAATATTTTTTATCAATTGAATACCATTTATGTTTAATTTTAATTTAGTGGAACTATTGCCTCATCCGTGAAAAGTTTTTTTGTTGCGTCGCCGAATCGTATTTGTTTCATTTTGCTTTTTTTTCTAATTCCAATTTTTTTCGTTCAATTTTTTTAATTTTCCAAATTTTTTTCATTGTTATTTGCCTTTTATTTAGAATTCCGATTTTCACTTAAAGCATACAATTTTTTGCATTTTTTTACATATCTTTTTTGTATTTGTTTATTTGTGTTAATTCGCCTTATGAAATTCGTCAGGTGTACTTAGATTATATTTTTTTATTTTATTTTTTTTAGGATTATTTGGGCCTTTCAATTATTCTCAGTGATAATGAACGCCTTTTATTGATTATTTCACTTTGATAACGAAAGTATTTGCATAAAAATTCATGTATATTAATTGTTATTCGATAAATTTCGTCTAATTAATTCGATTATCATCTGTTTAATGAGATGAGAATTATGAATTATGAATATGAATGAATGAATTTTTTTGTCTTATGAGAATGAGAATGTTAAATTGTAGTAATTAAGTTTTTGCAAATTTTTTTTTCAAGAAAAATTTTTAGGTAAAAATTTTCGAAATTACGAAAAATTAGTTTTGGAATTATTAAAATAACTGATAATTTGGAGATAAGTTATCTTGTTAGATTAAGAAATATTTTGCTCAGGTCTCATTCATTTTTCATTTAATTTTAATTTTTTTACTATAATTACCTTATTTATTGTTTTTTCAATAGGTTGACTATCGTTTTTTGTATTATTCAAAATTGCATTTGCGTATTTTCTATAAATTTTTTTATTTATTTTAAAAAAATTTCAGATTTTGGAAAATACTTCGATTCTATAAATGGTTTTGAATTTCTCAGTCTTTTCCATTCATTTTTTTTTATGAATTTTTTGCAAATTTTCACTTATTAAAATTTGCATATATTTTTATTTTCTTCGTTAATTTCTGATGATAAATATTTCATTTAATTTCTTTTTAATGCATCGAATTAAAAATAAATTTTGAAAATTTTTTTTCTTTTTATTTATATATTCAAAAATGGTAATTTCCCAATAAAAATAGTCTTATAAGATCGAAAGAAGAAAATGGACAAAGAATGGATAATGGATAAATTTTGTAATCCGCTGAAAAATGCGAGAAGAAAGATGAGTGAACGGCACGCGTTTTATTATACCTCATGCATATTTGAAGTATTGGCGTGAAGCATGAAAGGCGATATTTGGCGATATTTATTGAAATTCTATGAATGGAACTAAATCAATTAAATTAAATTAAATTACTTATTGTTAAATTGAGAAAATATTTCGAAGATATTTATTATTTATTTATTTATTTATAAAGTTTTCTTTTAAAATCTTTTAAATTACTCGTTCAATACGATTTAATTGCATTTTTCACTCAATTCAAAAGCGAATTTTATTGCATAAATCATTTATTTTATTTGCTAAATATTCTATGAAAAATGTGAAAAAACTGATTTTTTTGTTTATTTATCACCTTTTTTTTTTATGGAATAAATTTTGAAAATTTTTTATTTTAAAAATTTCAAAGTTTTTAATTTTCTATCGTCTTCGTCTTTTTCGTTTTTCCGCATTTTTTTTCCCTCCCCCCTCTAGGGAATTGCAAATTTAAATGAATTTTTCCGTTTTTCCAATTTTTTTTTTTTCCTGACTGAGTGAGAACTGATTTTATTTTATATGAAAAATTGAGTATTTAAAAAAAGTTGGAATTATGTAATTAAGTGAATCGCACAAAAATAAATGCTCTTTTTTTTCTCTCCAAAAAATCTCTTTTTTTAATTTTCTGTTATTTTTTCATTTTTCATTATTTTTAACGATAATTTTCTTTGTTTAATTTTTTAAAATCTTAAAAAAATTTTTTTGCAAAAATTTCGATCTCTTTAATAGATTTCTTAAAAATTTAAATACGATTAAACTGTCATAATGTATCCAGAAAAAAAAAAAAAAGGTGACTGTCGTCGGAAAAAATTCAAACCTCACCGATTCAACATAAATTTCTCCTTAATTCTCTTTTTTTTTTCTTTTCCAAAATACACTTTTTTTTGCCATCTTAAATCATTTTGTGCCATATTAATGCATTTAAATCGTTTTTTATTTTCAACCGTCTTTATTATTAAGAAGGATGAGGAGGAATTTTTTTTTAGGCGAGAAGTGTAATGGATAAATGAAGTGCATGAAAATTTTGTGAGATTTGAAGGAAGGAATATTGAAGGGGAAAATAACGAATTTAGATGAGGTAGGAAAACCTATAGGAAAACATCCAGTATTAGATTTTCAGTATCAATTCAAGCTCGTTCTTAGGAAGGATCTTTATTGATTACTGATAAGATATGAATAAAAAATATTTACATATTATTGTATTGTATAGAAGATATTTTCACAACAATAATAAATTCTACCAAAATATTGTTATCATAATTTTATCATGATATCATAATTTTTTAAATTCATTTTAAGAATATTTCGCTGAATAATTACGCCAAATTACATTAAAAATATTGCGAAAGGGATCTTCGATATTAATAAATTTTTCTATTTTGCTATTAATAAATTCCAGTAATTCGAATGAATTTATAAAAATTCACTTATATTAAATAAAATATTTCAGTTATTTTAAAATTTTAAAATGTATAAAAAATATTAAATCAAATATTTCATCTATTTTAAAATTTTAAATATGTAAAAAATGAATTTTTATAAAATAGTAATATTAAATAAAACTTTATAAATTAAAACAATAAATATATGGTTTTTTTTTTTTTTTTGTTCGAAAAAAATGGTGGATCGTTCGATACTGGAATTCTATTTTCGATAGGAATAAACCTGTCTTTTTTAGAAATGCGATTGATACCAGTTCAAAATTCAATTGCAAAATTCCTTAATTGTAAGTGCCATCATAACTGCCCTTGTAGAATCCTCTCTACAGAGAAAAGTAGGAAAGCCTACAAGTCAGGCGGACCAGCCAAACCAGAAATAGTGAATGGTATTTCAAAAAAAAAAAAAAACGAAAACACTGCAATATCATTTATCTTAATAATTGCTATGTAATAGTCTATTAATATGATCAAATAAAATATATTGGATTTTCTTAGTATTTTCTTTTGATAATTTGATAAATCTTTTGATAATTCTTTTGATAATTTCTTCCTTATAATTCGATAGTTTATTTAATAGTTTTTAAATAATTTTAATTTTATATTCAAATCTATAGATATTTAGGAAAGTGTTTAGGAAAATTTTAGAATTAATTCTTTAAAAAAGAGGAGATTGAACTATCCTTTTTTAAAGTAATATTATTTTTATGAACTATGCCTTAATAAGTGTTGGTTGGGCTTCGTTTAGTTGAATGGCTATTCGTGCTATAGGTGGATTAGCAATTTTTATTATCTTTTAACTGCTATAATTTCTTATAGGTTGAATCTTTTCATTAAAATGAAATATTTGCCATAATTCATTGTACCATTCATCATCAATATGATCATTTTGTTCTAACTGCATTTCTCCATTTCTAATTTGACTGGTTGCATCGACTATTAGAATGAAGCTTTTTTCCTCAGAGAATCGTTTAGGCGAGACGATAGAACTCCAGTATGGTTCTCAATACGATCATTAGGATATCACTTTTAATATCAAGAAAAAATTCCTCCCTCGAAGGAAAAAAATCAAAATTGTAATAGGTTGAATTTAGTCGAAATAACTTATCGCTCGAGCATTCGCTTTCGTTTGCCTAAATCATTAATTCACCTAATATGTTTGATTGTTCACTTATCAATGTGAGCATTTATAGCAATTGCATTTGCTGTTCGGATAAACCTTCGAGTTTCGAATTCAATTTCCGAATTTAGGATCAAAGCTAAAAATTTATTCAAAAAACTATTTGTTATAATAAAAATCAAAAAAAAAAAAAAAAAAAAATTCAGTGTTTATCTAACATCGAATATTTTACAATTCATTTTAGAAATATTCTTATTATTTTTGCGAGCAGCACTTATTGCAATGGTCAGCAAACATTAATCTCTACTTATTCCCTGGGGTCCACAGCGACTCGTAGGGAGTTTGTTGCGAGTCTTATTTTTTCTACTAATAGCAAATGAAGCAATCTGACTAAAAAACATATTCACACAGTTCTTTACAATTATATTTTATGATTCTTATCTTTTTCATGCCATAAAGGATAGCTAAGGAAATAGTTGATTTAGATTCAGAGAAAATATTTTACTAAAAGGTCCATAAATTTTTCTGGCATTACCTAGGGGATCTCTGGAAGTGATAAATTAATGATAAATTATATTAACATCTACCATAATTTCCAAATAAAAAAATTTTTAAGGAAATATTTTTCCAAGGAAATATGTGGTTTTGGAATTTTTTGTGAAATTTTTTAAATTTGTTTGATTTTCGTTGCCTTATTTTCTCTTTTCGATTAGACGATTTATTTTATGGAAAAATCAGTAGAATTTTGCGAATATTTTCGGCGAATCTTTTAAGCCATCAATCAGTGAAAAGAAAAGTGACAAAGCAAATTTTCAAAGATATTTAAGTAAATCTGACGAGATGTCAACTTTAGGTTTAGAAGATTGGCAACAAAGATA